TTTTTTTGGGGGGGTCACACCTGGCGATGCTCAGGGGTTACTCCTGTCTCTATACTCAGGACTCACTCCTAGCGGTGCTCAGGGGACCATATGGGATGCTGGGAATTGAACCTGGGTTGGCCGCATGCAAGGCAAACGCCCTACCCGGTGTGCTATCGCTCTAGCCCCACCATGATTAGTTTTTTTTTTTAGTTTTTATTAGTGAAACTCCATGTGACACAGTTGTTGACCTTAAAAATTTTTGTGCTTGAGTTTCAGTTATACAATGATTGAGAACCCATCCCTCCACCAGTGCCCATTCTCTACCTCCAATGCTCCCAGCATCCCTCCCCCGCACCAACCCTCCATTCCACCCCACCCCTGTGGCAGGGCATTCCCTTTTGTTCTCTCTCTCCTTTTGGGTGCTGTGGTTTGCAAAAGAGGCATTAATTGGCTATCATGTTTGGTCTATAATCTATTTTCAGCATGCATTTTTCATCCTGGGAGGGTCCTCCCAACACCCTTTACTTGCTGCTCCCCTCTCTATCTGAGCTGCCTTCTCCCTCAGCATGTGCAGCTGGCCTCCAAGCCATGGAGTGAACCTCCTGGTTACTTATCTCGGCTATACTTGGGTGTTAGTCTCCCAATTTGTTACTTTATATTCCTCAGATGAATGCAATCTTTCTATGTCTGTACCTCTCCTTCTGACTCATTTCGCTTAGCATGATAACTTTCCATGTAGTAAAGGTAAGGTAAGGTAAAGGCCCTCCCGTTGATCGTCGATTTGCTCGAGCGGGCCCAGTAACGTCTCCAATGGAGACTTTGTTGTTACTGTGTCTGGCATATTGAATACTCTCGGTAGCTTGCCGGGCTCTCCGAGAGGGGCGGAGGAATCGAACTCAGGTCGGCCATGTTGGCCGCTTGTAAGGCGAACGCCCTACCCGCTGTGCTGTAAATTTCATGACTTAATCTTTTCTAACAGCTGCATAGTACTCCATTGTGTAGATATACCAAAGTTTCTTTAACCAGTCATGTGTTCTTGGGCACTCAGGTTTTTTCCAGATTTTGGCTATTGTGAATAGTGCAGCAATGAACATAGAAGTGCAGATGTCATTTCGACTGTACGTTTTTGCCTCACCAGGATATATTTCCAGTAGTGGTATTGCTGGGTCAAATGGGAGCTCAATTTCTGATTTTTTGAGAATCGTCCATACTGTTTTCCAAAAGGGCTGAACCAGTCGGCATTCCCACCAGCAATGAAGGAGAGTCCCTTTCTCGCCACATCCATGCCAACACAGGTTGGTTTTGTTCTTTTGGATGTGGGCCAGTCTCTGTGGTGTGGGATGGTATCTCATTGTTGTTTTGATCTGCATCTCCCTGATGATGAGTGATATAGAGCATTTTCTCATGTGCCTTTTAGCCATTCAAATTTCTTCTTTACACCCACAATTAGTTTTTACCAGCAATGTTCTTCATTGTTGATTTTCAAGAAATGCTTCATTTATTTTTTTATAAATCTGATACTGTGACATGAAAAATAAATTACTTTAAATGAATATAACTCCTGGGCTGGAGCGATAGCACAGCCAGTAGGGCATTTGCCTTGCAAGCAGCCAACATGGCTGACCTGGGTTTGATTCCTCCACCCCTCTCGGAGAGCCCGGCAAGCTACCAAGAGTATCTCGCTCGCATGGCAAAACCTGGCAAGCTACCCGTGATGTATTCGATATGCCAAACACAGTAACAACAAGTCTCAAAAAATGGAGATGTTACTGGGCCCGCTTGAGCTAATCGATGAACAACGGGAGGACAGTGTTCTGTTCTGTTCTGAATATATCTCCCATGCCACTCAGCAATGTCTCTTCTAGGCCTCTATCCCCAAAAACAAACACATAAATTTGAGGTGATATTTGCATACCTATGTTCATCATAGCATTTAATATAGTTGTCAGGATATGGAAACAACCAACATTTCCACCTGTGGATGAAGGGATCAAGAAGTTGTGGAATATTACTTGATGCAATACTGTGTGACTGAGAGAAAAGACCAAATCATGTAGTTGGCCACTGTGTGGAAGGGACCTGAGGACGTCGTGCTGAGTGAAATTAAGTCAGAAGGAGAGAGACCAGTACATTATGATCTCTCTCACGTTTGAGTACATAAAAATACATGATATGGGAGCAAGAAGTGGCCCAAGATATCAGAAATATAACGAGTTGGTCTACAAAACTGAACTTACCTGGGAGTCAGGGGTCTTTGGAGCACTGGTGGAGGGTGGGCACTCTGATGGTGAATCTGGTATTCAAATCATGTATGCATAACATAAATTGAAAGATCTGAGAAATGTAATAAAATCAGTTTCATAAAAATGTAGACTGGTCTTCATAGAATTAGTCTGAACGATGTTATTATCTAGATATGAGAATCTCATTGGTTTCAAGAGTTTCCTATTAAGATTCTTACATATCACATGCATTCAATACTAAAAATGAGCTTTTAAAATTTGTGATTCAGGGTAGGGCTCTACCCTGAATCACAAATTTTGTAATTGGTTAAGAAAGTGGTGTCACAAAATAATTTAAACTAAAGTCATTTTTGCTTAGTCATAGTTTTTATTTTCGCAGCTATCAGAAGCTAATATTTGAAAAAAAATTTATTCTAGCACCATCAGCAACCATTTTGAAAATCTCTCAGAGGTTCTTGTTTTCTGCTCCATATCTATTTTTCTTATATTTCTGTAAAAACCAGCAGAGAGTCTTACCTTTGCAGACTTTAGGACTCAGGGAGGATTTTATTATGTTTTGTAACCCTCTAATCATGTAATGTAATGGATTGGAATAGGATTAATTATCCACTGATTATAATTTCTTGCAACTGCAGTCAGTTTTAATATGGTGGGTAGCTCTGCTCCCTTATAAGAAGAAATGTGATCTAGGCTTACTAATTTCTAACTTGAGCCTTGGGCAAATTATTTACTTCTTTAAACTTTGGTTTTCCATATGTGAAGTGAAATAGTAATTGGTATGTAGGATGTTTGTATGGGTGTTTGAATAAATGAGATAACAAACTAGGCATAGTGCATAGAATTTAGTGTTAGCTGCTATAATTAGTACTACTGCACTGCTATTAGTACTGCTAATATTGGTACTAGTATAAATATTATGTAAGTATTGTTGGTATCATTAATTTCTGATATTTAAAAATTTTTGAGTTATGGATTTTGAAAATATAAAATAATAGAAATATATATAAGTGCACTTTCTGTTCCTGTTTGGAGATACCAGTTTATCAAGTATTACTTCAAATGGAAACAACAAATGTGACTATAGGAAAATTTTCAATCATTCCACATTTCTATAACAGTCAAAGGAAGAATTTTGAATAGGTCCTTCTAAAGGAATGGTTAGTATGTAAAAGAAAGTGTTTCTTAAAGTCACAAAAATTATTAAAATTCTGTAGTTATTTTCTAGTTATTTCTGTATTTATTTAAATGAGAGAATTCTGGGGATCATCTGAAGAAAGTTTGGAGCATTTGTGGAGTTAAACACTAAATTTTGGGGTTAAAGAGTTCAGAACAATTATCTCTAATAGGAAGTTTAGCTTGTTTTAATTGCATATAGTTCCACTATATATAGGACTGGAGTGATGGCATATAGGGCTAGAGCAATAGCACAGTGGGTAGGGCATTTGCCTTGCATGCGGTCGAAGTAGCTTCAATTCCTCAGTCCCTCTCGGAGAGCCCGGCAAGCTACTGAGAGTATCTTTGCCACATGGCAAAGCCTTGCAAACTACCCGTGACATATTCATATGCCAAAAAACAGTAACAGTAAGTTTAACAATGGAGATGTTACTGGTGCCTGCTCGAGGAAATCAACGAACAATGGAAGGACAGTGCTACAGTGTGATAGCTCCACTTAAGAGAGTTTCAGATAGGAAAGATGGCATAGAATGGGGAAAAGAAGGAAAATGACTGAGGTAGATGTGCATGAGTATAGGCAGTGGTTACATCTTTTGTGATGGGATCAAATTTTTTTTTGTTTGTTTGCTTTTTGGGTCACACCCGGCAATGCACATGGTTACTCCTGGCTCTGCGCTCAGGAATTAGCCCTGGCGGTGCTCAGGGGACCATATGGGATGCTGGGAATCGAACCCAGGTTGGCCGTGTGCAAAGCAAACGCCCTACCTGCTGTGCTATTGCTCCAGCCCGGGATCAGATTTTTTTATGTTAAATGTTATATACTCTTACTACTGACGGTAGGCTTTTGAGCAAAAGTTACTTATCTAATTCTTTGTATCTGTACCTCTAATCCTTTAAATCCATAAAATGAGAGCAATTAAAATTCTTTATTCTCATCCTTTAAATGTGATAACCTGCTTTTTATGTACCAGCAAATGTTAATTAAAATGAGTATTTTTATGATACTGTCAGTATAATGTTCTTAATGTATCTCTGCTTACTTAATTCTCACCTTTCCTTCTTAAAATGATTTTTTCCCTTTTAAATTGTTTACCCTTCCATTCATTTCATGGAAATTGTTTAATTCTATGCTTTTATGTCCTTTAGCAAGCATATTGTAGAGACATCAATATGCACTTTGAGGATTGATTGGTAGAATTTACTTTGTAGAATCAATGAATCAATTTTATAGAAAAAATATTTCCTCCCAAATGAAACATAGCTTTATTTCAGAAGTAAAATTTTTACTCTATATTTAAAAACCCAAATATAGTGCTTTCAGTATTCCTTTTTAAGAATAAATATTGGTTTAGAATATTTTGTTTCTTTAGCTTGATTAATGAAGACCTGACTGCGTAAGCATGGTTATGAGAGATCAGCCCATTCATTTAAAAATTGCATCCTTTCACCTCCTAAACACTAAACTCTGAAACCTAACACAAATACTGTAAGAACATCTGAGGTAGATAATTAAAGTATAATTAAGTTTAAATGCCTTGGTGAAGGAATATAAAAATTATTTAAATTCAATCGGCTAGTACATTTGCAGTTTTCTTTTATTAGGTGTGAAATCTAAGAATCCCCTGCCAACTCTGGAGGGCTCCATCCAGAATGTTGAATTGAAGTACTGCAGCACATCATTGGTCAAATGTGCCTCAGGGACCCTGGGATCAATAAAAGTTTGTGCCAAAGCCCCAGGTATGTGCAGCTGGACCATGTAAAACTTTATTGCCTGTATAGGAGAATTGGCCTTGCGTTTTACAAGGAGCGTTACTGAAACAAGAATTTACTCATTGTTCCTATGAATCAGAGGTTTTAAATATTTTTATTTTTACTAAAAATTAAAAAAAATTGTGTCGGATGATACTTTTGCACTTTATTAAATTAACTTTTATTTAAGGAAAACTTTGCGTAGATTTAATAATGCTATGGAGAGAAAAATTAAATAAGTTTATTCTTTGGGGGGTAGGAAATAAAGATAACATGACACTCGAGTGAATATTAACTTAACATGTTGTTGGTATAATAAAATGAGACAGAAAATCCAACTGTTTTCCAAATTGAGGATGTTAACTGACTTTACTTTCCTACTACTTCATTATTTCATAATACTTTCCTTGAACTATTTATCATTTTTTTCTGCACAGATTTAATGTCAAGATAAAATTGAAGAGGTGCATTGTTGAACATTTAGAATACAGTGTATTCCACTTGTTTTCTATATAAGCTTTTCTGAATGTGTTCAGTCAGCATTTTTTTTATTGCTAAAAGGGATTTTGATCATACTCTTAGGAGTATAATTAGATGTATACCTAAAATTACAAAATTTCAGATACATAATTTTATATCTAAAATTATTGATTTTAGTATGAAGTTTGTATATTTTAAGATCAATCCTTCTGAAGCTACTCTAGGACTGGACATTTTTTACTTGATTTTTGTTTTCATAAATGTTTTTATCCAGGTGACAATGGAAAAGAAAAATTAATTCCACTGCTTCAGGGTCCTTCTGACACTAAAGACCTTCATAACAGCAAGTGGCTTAATGAGAGCAGAAAGCCAGAATCTCTCCTAGCTCCAGACCTGATCGCCTTTACAGTCCAAGTTCCACAGTACATGGACTACTGCCACAGTTCTGGTGAGTACAGCCCAGCACTCACCACTGAGATTGCAGTTTGCTTTTCCAGAATGGCCTATAGTTTGGAATATTTTCTTTTTGTCCCCTTCCCCCCCCTCCCCCCCCCCCCCCCCATCTCTTCTTTGTTATGCCATCTTGTGTTCCTGGGATACTCATTGCAGTTGAGTATTAGAAATTAAGATGTGTTCTTTGAACGTTCGAGTGAAGTATTAATTACTGTAGTATTTTTGATTGATCCATTTCTTTAAGATAATTTAATTTTATGTGAGATTATTTAGTTGTATATATGTATATAATGCTTAATATCAGATTCATATTATTAAGTTCATCTGAGTTATAAAACACAGTATTCCAGGTTGGAAAGATGGTGGTACAACAGGTAAGGCACTTGCCTTGCACTTGATCCACCTAGCTTCGATCCCTGGAACCACTGTGGTTCCCTGAGCACTACCAGGAGTGATCCCCAGCACAGTGAGGTATGGCCTAGTCTCCCTGGACCCTGCCCCAAATATATATATATATATATAAATGTATCACTGTCACTGTCCTCCCGTTGTTCATCGATTTTCTCGAGCGGGCCCAGTAATGTCTCCATCGTGAGACTTTGTTGTTACTGTGTTTGGCATATCGAGTACATCACGGGTAGCTTGCCAGGCTTTGCTGTGCGGGCGAGATACTCTAGTTTGCCAGGCTCTCTGAAAGGGGAGATATATATATATAATATATATTATATATTATTATATAATATATGATCATCGATTTGCTCGAGTGGGCCCAGTAACGTCTCCATTGGAGACTTTGTTGTTACTGTGTCTGGCATATCGAATACTCTCGGTAGCTTGCCGGGCTCTCCGAGAGGGGCGGAGGAATCGAACTCGGGTCGGCCATGTTGGCCACTTGTAAGGCGAACCCCCTACCCGCTGTGCTATCGCTCCAGCCCATATATATATAATACATGTAGCACTGTAGCACTGTCCTCCCATTGTTCATTGATTTACTTGAGCGGGCCCAGTAAAGTCACCATTGTGAGACTTGTTGTTAACTGTGTTTGGCATATCGAATATGTCACAGGGATCTTGCCAGGCTTTGCCGTGTGGATGAGATACTCTCCATAGCTTGCCAGGCTCTCCAAGAGGGGTGGAGGAATCGAAACCGGTTCTGCCGGGTCGGCTGTGTGCAAGGCAAACGCCCTACCCACTGGGTTATTGCTCCAGCCCAATATACATGTACATATTATGTACACCCGTATGTATACATACACATATGTAATAATTGTACATTCTTAACACTCATACATAATATGTAATATATATTATATAATGTGTGTATTTGTGTGTGTGTGTATAGCACATCATGTGATCACTATCACTGTCGTCCCGCTGTTCATCGATGTGCTCGAGCCAGTAACATCTCCATTTGTCCCAGCCCTGAGATTTTAGCAGCCTGTTCTTACTTGTCCTTCCCAACGGTGCCATTTTGGAGGTTCTTTCAGGGTCAGGGGAATGAGGCCTCGTTATTGTTACTGTTTTTGGCATATTAAATACATCATGGGTAGCTTGCTGGGCTTTCCAAGAGGGGACATCATGTGATACATAGAAGTAAGTAAAGAAATTTTAACATTGATAAGAGAATATACTCTTCTTGGTATAGTGGTGCTTTGTGATCCACAGTTAGCCACTTAAAAAGGAAGCGTTTGGTTTTTCCGTAGTGTTGCAGAAATGAAATATTGTGGGTGTTGGGGCCAAGAACAAAACTCAAGTGCCAGGATCATATTTTCGAGTTCTGTACTTCTGTAGCAGCATGTTGCCTCGAATGTACTTTGTTTTATGTAGTGCAGTCCTGGCAGAGGCTTGTGTCTTCATGTGGAGAGAGCAAGTCCGAGATCACTGAGGGCGGGCAGAAAAGGTGTGTATGAGTTTAGTCAGTGTGCGGTCACGAAAGCCAGTTGGGTTTGTCACTGATGCGGGCATCAAGACAGCAGTGAACAGATTTCTTAATAGCTGAGGCCTAGAGAGGTAGCTCAGAGTGCGCCCGCGGGAGGCCTGGCTTCCCTCCATGGCCCTGCGCAGATCCTGGAGCACTGCCAAATCTCACCCAGTCCTCCTATGTCCAGCAGAAACGAAACCCGAAAAGGACAGGTGATCCGAGGTTATTCTTCAGGATGGACTGACCAGTCAGAAAGTGGGTTGCAGAAACTTCCTGAGGGCCAGAGCTGTAGTGCAGCAGGAGGACACTTGCCTTCACCAGGCCAGCTCAGGTTTGATCCGCCGCATGCCGTCTGTTCTTCTGAACTGGGCCAGGAGTGATCCCTGAGTGCAAGGCTAGGAGGAAGCCCTGCGTACCACACCAAATTTATAAAAACAAAAACTTGCCCAAGTCAAGCCCCATTAACATCATTTAACTAGTACTATAGCCCACAGAGAAATTACTGTACTAAATATGAGGTAAAATCCATGAAATCATTTGTGATTAACTGGCAAGATGGAGGTCATTTGCAGGTGAAAATTCAAAGAAATACACAGGTGCACATATGTAAAAGATACAAAAACATTTGAAAGATGAGTTTTAATAGAGTAGTGCAAAATCTTAGCACGCTGAAGGTTGTGTGTTCACGGGCTCTCTCGAGGGCTCACTCTCACCACCCGTGTTTGGTACTCTTGAGCCGCTGTGTGTGGCCTGGATCGGGATGGCTGTTGGCCAAGGGCAGACGAAGGAAGAAACCGAGGGCCAGGCTGGTCAATATCAATTGTAGTTTATTCCAATCCTCTTCACTCCTGTCTCTCCTCTGCTTCCTTCTCTCCTGGGCCCCACTCTGGAACCTTTCTCCCTCTGGCTCTGACTCTGGATCTCTGTAGCTCGAGCTCTCAGTTCTGACTCTGCTCTTCCAACCTTCAGTCTTAGTTTATATAGCAATCACATAAGGCAGTGAGTGACACAAAGGTGGGTTGAACATCCACAAATCAACAATGAGAGGTAAGACCACTCCTCTAGGAGTAGGAGATCTGCTCAAGGGTGGAATCCTAACAAGGGTGTGTTCTTTCCTCAGCTAGTAATCTACTTAAATAGTTGTAGTAAATCTACTTATAGCATTTCTAGCAGTGTCATTCTGTATGAGCACAGTAAGAGAGATATACATTCCGCAGTCCTCAGGGCAGGTTAGTCTTCTAGCCCCACCAGGGTCCTTGTCTTGTAGTTACTTACTTTTGGATCATGACAGCATTTGTCCAGGATCATGCCCTCCACTTATAGTTGAGTATCGTGGCGCTTTGGCCTGGCCCATTTCAATGCCAGGGTAGCTTACAGCTTGCCCTGGGTCCATTCAGTCCCTCGTCGGGGCCCTGCTTTTGGGGTGCTAGGAACTAAGGGCAACTGAGTCAAGAAAGCAGATGCCCAGGAGTAAATATTATTTGGAGTCAATCAACTCCCAAGTTACAAAGCATAATATTAACAGTTTTCCTGTGTCCATACAGAAAGGACATTGCTTTAAGGTAAACTATTCAAAAGACATAAGGAGAGGAGAAAGGCAATATTAACTTATAATACAAGTTCAATGTCCTGGGATGGGTGTGACCCGGTAAACCTAAGCTACTTGAGGAAAGACAAAACAGTGCTATCCTACAGAGTAGAGTAGCATTTGCAGCTCAATAGTACTAGCATTCAGAAAAACTTGGTTTAGTATGACTCTGAAGATCCCTGTGTGAGTCTGTGTCTAAATCAATATTACCCCCAGTTTTTCCGCCTGTTGTGTACAAGAATGGAACTATTTCTAAGGGTATAAAAGGGAGCGTGAGACCAAGACCCAAACCAGGATGATGCCACTGAATAAAAGATCTTTCATCAAACTTTTGAGGTAGTGGTTAGTAAGTATTTTGCTAGTGGCCCCAGTCACTAATATTTTACGCCTTGTGGGTCTGAGGAGCTCTGTCTCAATCATTCATTTTGCTATAACACTGCTTAGAGCACAGAATAGTTTTAGGTAATATCTAAATGAGTGGATGTGATTGTGTTAAAATTAATTCATGAAACAGGAGATAGGCGTGAAGTATTGGTGGTTAATAAATAAACATTATCCTTTTCTTAATATATATATTTTTTTGTTCTGGGGACAACATCCAGCAGTACTTAGGGCTTACTCTCAGCTCTGTGCTTGGGGGCCACTTCTAGTGGTGTTTAGGGGACCATATGTAGTGCTGGGAATCAAACCTGGGTCACCTGACTGCAAGGCAAAATGCCCTACCCACTGTATTATCTCTCTAGCCCTGTTAACCATGTTTTAATGAGATTTTGCTCATTTAATTCAATTTCTGAAATGTTTTAACCATACACCTAGAATGAATTAATGAGTCATTTATTTAAATTATTGTTTTCTGTCACTGTCACTGTCCTCCCGTTGATTGTCGATTTGCTCGAGCGGGCCCAGTAACATCTCCATTAGAGACTTTTGTTGTTACTGTGTTTGGCATATCGAATACATCACGGGGAGATGGCCAGGCTCTGCCGTGCGGGTGAGATCCTCTCCGTAGCTTGCCGGGCTCTCCGAGAGGGGCGGAGGAATCGAACTCGGGCCGGCCATGTTGGCTGCGTGCAAGGCAAATGCCCTACCGCTATGCTATCGCTCCAGCCCATTGTTTTCTAGTTGGAGATTTAGTATAGTGGTTAAGACACTTGCCTTGCATTTGTAGACCCTGATTCTGTGCCTGGCATCACATATGGTCCCCTGAGCACTGCTAGGAGTGATCCCTGAGCACAGAACTGAGAGTGAGCCCTGATTTCCAACAGAAATGGTCCAGAGTCAAAGGAAAAGAAACAAAAGTAATGATCTGTTCTTTTGCATAATAATGTATGTAATATTTTTTGTAATTTTAATACATTTTTACAACCACAAAAATATATTGTGTTTCTCACCTTTTATATGGGTTTTAAGGTAAACTTATAAAAAGTATTTCATTGTTTCTAGGTAAAAGTTTTATGTTCTTGGTATTAGGGAGATTTCATCTTTA